AACGCTTTTCTCAGATTTCTGGCTGAAGGAAAATCTTGGCAGGTAATACACGGAACGCTTACAGTGCAGCCCACATGGTTCGGGGAGGTTTCATTGAGTCTAAGAATTCACTGAGTTGAGAGCCCACCATTATTTTGTGCAAGTAAATTTTCCTAAAGCTGCCAAGTGAACTGTGATTTCAGAGCTACTAAAGGGCATTTCTTAGCATCAATGAGATGCCATAATCCTCACCTACAACCATATTAAAAACAAGGCACATGGAGGTTAAATAGCTTGCCCCGAGTCATGGCCAGTAAGGGGCTGAGCTAAGAGCTAACTGGGACAGCCTCAACCTAGGCCAGTGGTTCTTGCACACCACAGCCCCATGCACAGGGCACCGGCCACTTCCCAGGCCCTGTCACGCCCATTCTCTCACCCAGCCAGCCTTGGAGATAGGAGCTAGAATTCTCCTCTTTGTACAGATGGGATTCAGGCAGAATACAGGAGTACACCTGGGCCCAAACTCCACTTCCCACTTACTGGCTATGTGTCTGTGGACAACTGTCTTCCTGTCTGAAAATGAAGACACTGTTGTGCAAATTAGATGAGTCAGTAATTTGTCAAGTTGGTTGGGATGGTGCCTGGAATCCATACTTTATAAGTATTGGTTCTGATAGGGAAATGAAAGCACAGTAAGGTTATGAGACGTGCCGAAGTCACACAGCTCATAAGCAGAGACTTGTCACCAAGTCAGTCTCTCTGTCAGGCTGTGCTCTTTCCAGTCTCTCAGAACCAACAGCTGCACTGAGGGTGGACGGCGGTGTGGTTTCTGTCCAGCAGCGGTACCTCACTCTGCACAGACCTCATCCCTGGCTTTCCATCTTCCATCCCTCAGAAGTTCCACCTCGTGCCAAGCGTCAATGCTGTGAGTGGCAGCCAGGAGCTGCAGTGGATGGTGCAGCCTCATTTCCTCGGACCCAGCAGCTACCCCAGGCCTCTGGCCTACCCCCCGTACAGCCCCCCACAGCCCCGGCCAGGAGTCATCCGGGCACTAGGGCCACCTCCAGGGGTGCGACGCCGGCCCTGTGAACAGGTACGTAGCAGAGGCATTGCGCTGGTGCTAATGCCCACAGGGGTGCTGAGGGGCAGAGGACAAGTTCTTGGCAGAAGGGACACAGGCGTAGAAAGGGGGGAGGTGGGGAGGTTAAGTCCACTGGTGACTCCTGGTCAAGGCAGAAAGTAATAGGAGCCCCTGGGGTGATCCAGAGGGCAAAGAGGTCACTTCTAGATCAGGGAAAGCTTTCTGGAGCCTAGAAGGATGGGTAGGATTTGCATAGATAGAGATGAAGGAAAAGACATTCCGGGTAGAGAGGTTGGCAGGAGCAAGAACAGGGATGAAGATGAAAATGTAAGGTGTACGCGTGGAGCAACAGATGGAGAAGCGGGTGGACGGGAGAGGGTCTCTACCCACTGACATGGATGGTGATGGTGAGCGCATGCTGTCTACAGAGCTGGGGAGAGAACAGAAAGGGGAGGGTTCCCTGCAGCTACTCTCTGGGTGTAAGTCTCCCTGTCTCATTTAATCTTTGCAAAAAGCCTCTGGGGAATGCACTCTGGTTTTCTCCATTTTACAGCTGGGAAATGAAGGCACACCGAGGTAGTCACTTGTCCAGATCATGCAAGTAGTGAGCAATGAGACAGGTCTTTCCAATTCTAAAGTGAGATCTTAACCATCAAGCCACACTGTCTCATCCAGAGCTAACAGGCTCGAAGCAGAGTGAGCTAGGGACTCTTGGCTTCTCAACCAGGGCTCCTGCCTTCACAGTCCTAAAAAAATAAAATAAAATACAGTTCCTTGCCAAAATAAATAAGAGATAGAGGGTCTTTAAGGGAGTGGCTCCTCCTTCATTTTGGTATATGAGACTGTAGTGGAGTGAGGCTTGTGCATTAAGGAGCTTGACCTGAGGTCAGGATCTTGGAAAGATGTGCAGTTAAGACAGACCTTTTTGACCAACTGGAGAAGAGGGCCACGCTGTGAGCCCAAAGCAGGCTCCTGGACTTCTTCAGCCCTGTGCTTATGGGGCTTTTAGTTTCTGGGACTCCTAGACGGGGGCTGTGAGCTCTAAGTGGGGTTCTTTTGGGGGAGGTGGTCTCCATCAGCCGCCCTCTCAATGTGGAACAGAGTGAGTGGGTTTTAATTTCTGCTCTGGGACCATAAACGAGTTATTCATCCTCTCCAGGCTTCAGTTCCTTACATGGAAAGTTTGGTTAAGAAACTGTGTAAAGCTCTTCACCGGCGTATAATAGGTTCCTAATAAAAGACAACTTACTCAGTGGCAACACTCACCAACCTCTCCTAGTGCTCACAGCCTCTGGGGAAGAGGACACTTGGTTATCTAGAGACTGAAAAGAATGAGGGTCCTTTGAAAAAGAGCGGCTGGGCCCCAGGGGCTCAGAATAAGAAAGGCCACTTTTGGGTGGGAAATGAGAGAGAAAGCTTCTTGGAAGAGTGGGGGCATCTCAGTTGAGTCCTGAGAGATGGAGAGGGGTAAAGGTTTGTGGAGTGTGTGGGTGTGAGGGGGTGGGCATTCTGAGAGTAATCAGAGGAGGCAAAAAGCTGGGTGCGAGGAGGAAATCTGATTAATTCAATCTCACTAAAGCGCGAGTGTGGGGAACCTGTCCCGGTGCTGTGTGGTCCCTGAAGCGCGGTGGGGGAGGGGGACTGCACTGCCATACCGTCGGCCAGGGTCCTAGCCCTGGGCCACCCCACAAGGCGACCAGTGGCCCAGGGTCTACCTCACTACTCCCTCTACCCATCCAGATCAGCCCGGAGGAGGAGGAGCGCCGTCGAGTGAGGCGCGAGCGCAATAAGCTGGCGGCGGCCAAGTGCAGGAACCGGAGGAAGGAACTGACCGACTTCCTGCAGGCGGTGAGGACCGGCCGGCGAGGAGGGTGTCCAGGCCCCGGTCTACCGAACCTCAGAGGGGAGCGGCTCCCCAGAGCCTGAGGGGTCCCAGAGGGCACCGGGATATGAAGGCCCCTTCCCCCAGGCTCCCGTCGGAGCAGTCCTTCGGAGAAAACCATGAGGAAAAAGCGATTAAAAATTAGTTACAGCCCATCTCACTCCCATCAGAGGGAGAGGAGGGTTAAAGCTTCGGCAGACAACCTCCTTCTAAGATGCTCCCGGGCCTGATGGGAGCCGAGCCCATTTTTCTCCCAAGGACTCATGGGACTTGTAGTCCAGACTCGCTGGAGACCCATCCCCACCCCCAATTACCACCACCTCCCGAGGCTACTCGGTATTCAGCCCTTATCTTCTAACTCCTCTCCTAACCCTCCACAGGAGACCGATAAACTGGAGGACGAGAAGTCCGGTCTGCAGCGAGAGATTGAGGAGCTGCAGAAGCAGAAGGAGCGCCTGGAGCTGGTGCTCGAAGCCCACCGCCCTATCTGCAAAATCCCGGAAGGGGCCACGGAGTGCGACACTGGCGGCGCGGGCGGTACCGGCGGCACCAGCAGCCCCCCAGCACCTTCCCGCCCTGTACCTTGTATCTCTCTTTCCTCGGGGCCCGTGCTTGAACCCGAAGCATTGCACACCCCCACGCTCATGACCACACCCTCCCTGACTCCTTTCACCCCTAGTCCGGTCTTCACCTACCCCAGCACCCCTGAGCCCTGCGCCTCAGCCCATCGCAGGAGTAGCAGCAGCAGCGGGGACCCATCCTCTGACCCTCTGGGCTCCCCCACCCTCCTTGCCTTATGAGGCACCCCAGCCCCCCTACCGGCGGGTGCCACTCTAGCCAATGTCTCCCCACCCACTGGTCCAGCTGGTCTGGACTGTATCTCATGCCCATTCCCAGCAGGCTCTTCTCCATCCCTCCAGATGACACCGGGCATATTCTGCGTCCTCGTAGAGCCAGCTTGGGGCCACCAAAGCTACCCACTGTTTTTCCAGAGCTGGCTTCTCTACCACAATTTGCACTAAATCAGAAACAAAATATTTCTCATTAGTGCGAGGGAACTCCTGGCAACCAAAAAGGACTTTGTAGAGCCCTCGAGGTCCTCTAGAGCCCCAAGCCCTTCCAGACAACACCTACAGTCATCACCCTCTTCCTCTAGTCCACCCAATCCTGCTCTTCACAGGTGATACTCTACCAGCCTAGAACACTAACGAACACCCAGCCCCACACTGCCAGCAGCATCAAGTGATCAAACGAGGGCATTCTGCTGGCCCCTCCTGAATGGCAGGAGAGTGCCAGAGTCTTCTGTGATGAGCCAACCTGCAGCCCCCCAGCTCTGAGAAGACTTCAGCTCCAGGGAATCCAAGCCTCCACAAGGAAGGCAGCTGCTATTTATTTTCCTACATAGAGTATTTTTATACAAACCTACCAAAATGGAATAAAAGGCTTGAAGTTCTGGCCTGGTCTCATTGAACCCAGAGGCAAAAAGGAAAACATTTGGAATCAGAAGCCCTAGGCTCCCGTCTCACCTCTACGGACTTACTGCATGAGTTTGGACAAATTATTTGATATTTCTGGACCTCAGTTGTCTTATCTGACGAATGAGATTACATCTGCGCTGCCTCATCTCCAGGACTGAGGGGAGAAAGAGTGCTGTTGGGTGCAAGCCAAAAGGATTATCTTCTTCCTCCTGATGGAAGCCCACAGCGCTCCTGCGCGGACCATAGGAGGGCGCTGTTACGCCCCTTCCAGCCTCGGGGGAGGCTGCCGACTGGGTTCTAGGCCCCCAACACCTGCTTCCTGCCCCATTGTCTTGGACAGGAAGGAGCCGGGAAGGGAGCTGGAGCCACTTCAGGGGCCGGATCACGGCCTGTCCCGAGGCCTAATGGGGGGAGCCAGGGGCTTACCACGGTCCCACATCCCGCCCTAGGCTTGAAGTCCTGGGGGAGTCAGCCGCCTTAGTTCTGCAGCCCCTCCAGATGGCAATGGTACCCTGTCTCAACGTCCCCGCCCTCGTTCCCACCCCGGCGAGTCCCAAACAGACGCTGCCCAGGCCACGGGCTCTGCTTCCGTTCCAGTTTATTAGCCCCCACCCCGCCCCCAGCAAGTCCCTCCGCTCCAGCCTCCAGTTCCCCTGCTGCCCCACCAGCGAAAGCCAGGGGCCTCCTTAGTGCCAGAGTTTCCAAATCCATGCCAGCGGCCCCTCGTACTCAGGCGGCACGGCGTCCAGGTCTCGAGGTCCACCGCAGTCCCGGCGCTTGGGAAGCAGTCTGGTCGGGCGTCGACGTGAAGGAAGCGGAACGCTCAGTCATCTGGGGAGCAGGCGAGGGGCAACTGGTCGGGACTGCCCACGCTGCCGGTGCTGGAGCTTCCATCGCCCAGGTCGCGGGGCCCGCAGGGAGGCAAGGCGAGCTCGGGTGTCGGCCCGGCGCTTGAGCCCCCAGCGCCGCCGGGGCCGCCTCGGGGGCCCCACTCCTCGCCGAGAGCCAGGCAGAGCTCCTTAAGCGCCAGGTTCTCCCGCAGCAGCTCCTCCTGGCGGCCCTCCAGCTCCGCCAGCTTCTGCCAACAACCGCCCAAGTCCTCGCGCACAGCTCGGGATGCTTGGGTCCCGAAGAGCTGCCACTGGCGCGCGGCACGCCGCCCGCGCTGGCGCTCGGAGTCCAGGAAGCAGCAGAGGTCGCGCAGCTCACGGTTCTCAGCCTGTAAGCGCCGGTTGAGCTGCTTGAGCTCGCGGATCTCGCCCAGGTGACCCTGCAGCTGCCGATTCACCTCCTGCATGAGGCGGCCGCGCTGCACTAGAGCCGCCAGACGCGCCGCCTCCTCCCGCCGCAGGCGCCGCACCAGCTCTTCCTTGCCCAGCGCCGCCATCTCCTCGTCCGTCAGCTCCTCCAGGCCGCCCGCCTCGGCCTCCATGGCTGCTCAGGCCTCTGGAGCATCGCCTGCCCGCCGCCGCGGCCCAGGAGCCCACGTCGAGCTCTGCGCTCTCGCGGTTGAGCTCCGGCTCCGCGGGCGGCAGGCTGTGCCTGTGTAGCGTAGGCTGCAGCAGCCGCCCGGGGGTGGGCACGCGGCGGGGCGCGCGCTGGGGCGGGGCCGTGTGACGTTAAGGAAGGACAGCCAATCCACGGAAGGCTCCCCGGAAAGGGGCGGGATTTGAGCGCAGAATACAGAGAAAGAGAGATCCCCTTCCCCGCCCACTCCAGACCGCTGTGTTACAGACCCCTTTGCGCCGTGGGTCTGAGCGCCACTACCCTCCGCGACAGGTAACCCCAAACTAGGCGCTTGGTACTTCCCAGTTCCAAACTGCCTCAAGTTCTCGCCTAGGCCTCTCAGCTGCTTCTGAGAACCAAGACTCCGACGTTGGCCACAGACTCATGCCCACTCCCCGACGGAACCCAGACGGTTCTCGTTACCAACTTTCCTAACTTAGTTCATACTGGAGATTCTCCGCTCAATGAACATCGCTCCCAGACCTTCGGAACCCTGAGCCCAAACGTGCCTGAGTCATCATCAGCCTACACGCTATTGGAACGTTTCCTGCCCTGGGGGGAGGTGCATATAGGGATTCATTTATTCAATAAACTTTTATTGTGTGCAAAGCCCAGACAGAAATAAACTTGACTAAGATTCTGATCCTGTCCTCAAGGGATCTTAACTTATTTTTTAAAGATATTATTTATTTATTTATTTATTTATTTGAGAAAGGGTGAGAGACAAAGAGAACACGAGCAGGGGAGGGGGAGAGGGAGAGAGAGAAGCAGACTCCCCGCTAAGCAGGGAGCCTGATCCAGGACTCAATCCCAGGACCTCTGGGATCATGACCTAAGCCGAAGGCAGAGGTTTAACCGACTGAGCCACCCAGGCCCAAATGGGGTCGTAATTTACTGGGGGAGATAGGCTGTGTAAAACCAGATGTAAATGGGGGATGGGCATGGTCTGAGGGATCTCCACCCCCCCCAAAAAAAGGTTTCCCCAAAGGGGTGGTAATCTGAGGGGCCCCGAAAGACATATAGGGCATTGCCAAGTAAAGAGAAAGCTAGTTCAGGGAGCAGGAATAGCATGGTGAAAGATGCTGGGGGCCTAGCTCCTCTAGGGACGGTGAAAGTAGCTGGATGTTTTCGAAAGGTAGCTGTGTGGAGAAAATGCTAAAGGGAGGGAGAGAAGCTAAAAAGGTAGTTGGCTGGAGTGTTGCCACAGGCCAATAGGATTTTAAGCAGAGGAGTACCATTTTAAAACGTGCATTAAAAAAATTATTCAGGCTGCTCTGTGTGGGATGGATCATGGGGAAGAGATGTAGGCAGAGAGATAAGTAAGAACACTGTGTCAATGGGCAAGGTAGAACTCTGCAGGAGGACTGGGCTGGGACAGTGCCAGTAGGGGTGGAGAGGACAAAACATCGTAGAAATATTCAGGAGGCAAATCAGTAGAACTGAACGTGAAGAATGAGGACTCCGGGAGAAAGTCCACGGTTCTGGCCTGAGAACTGGGTGAATGTTGGGACTGTCACTGAGATAGGAACGCAGGAAAGAAACAGATTGGAAAGAGGGCGGTCTAGCTTTTGAGGAGCCTGTAGGGTAGACAGTGTAGAAAGAGGAGCATATAGGCAGTCCTCCTGACTTGGACTCCAGCCAGAGCTCTGAGCTGCAGAGTAAGAGAAGTCATTATTAGTGCGGGGAGGGTGGAGGGAGGTGTTAGGGAGTGTTAGGGAGTGAGGGAGTTAAAACCATGGGAGCAGGTGCCCCACGCCCAGATGAGGTTCTCAGCCGCAGAATGGAGTGAGAGGCTTCCAGCAAGGGCCCTTGGAGATTAAGTCAAACATATTTTTTGCAGAGAAAAGATTTAGGACAGAAACCTGTGAAACCCCTACATTTAAGATACACATCAAAGTAGGGAGGAGAAAGTGGGAGAAAAGCCAGAAGGAAGTGTGGGGGAAGGTTGCCGGCGCAGGGGAGACTGTCCGTCGACCTCGACTCCCGAAGTCTTCCTGCAAACTGGGCCAGGACGAGAGTGAGGGTTGGTAGGGCGGCGTGGAGGCGGGGGGGGGGGGGGGGTAGGGACAAGGAGCCTGGGATTGCCCCTCCCGCTAGGAGGAGGTGCTACTCTTCTTGGCCGCTTCTGCCCCTACCCTCCCTGTCCCGGAAGTGGTCCATCTCTGGCTCCGGGTGCCCGGAGCCGAATCTCGGCGCTCCCGGAAGTAGCCTGCAGGCGGCGCGCCCGGCCCGGGCCGTGCTCGCTCCGAACGGGGTGCTGCGGCTGCGCCCGGGTCCGGGCGTCGCCATGACCAGCGAGCTGGACATCTTCGTGGGGAACACGACCCTCATCGACGAGGACGTGTATCGCCTCTGGCTGGATGGTTACTCGGGTGTGTGGGGGGCCGTCTGCGGGGCGGGTCAGGAGAAGCGGTTGTTTGGGATGGGAGGTGGGGGGCCAGGACTCGGGTCGTTTGGGGAAGTGGGCTGGAGTGAGGGATGTTTAGTAGGAGTCGGACTTGGGATCCCCCGAGGGCCTGGGGGTTCACGGAGCGGGCTTAAAGCTAGCGCCCACTCCCCAGTGAGCGACGCGGTGGCCCTGAGGGTGCGCTCGGGAATCCTGGAGCAGACGGGCGCCACGGCAGCGGTGCTGCAGAGCGACACCATGGACCACTACCGTACTTTCCACATGCTCGAGCGCCTGCTGCACGCACCGCCTAAGCTGTTGCACCAGCTCATCTTCCAGATCCCGCCCTCCCGACAGGCGCTGCTCATCGAGAGGTGGGACGCCAACCTGTCTGACCATATACGCATTTTGCAGGGCGAAACCGAGGCCCGGGTTGGGACGGGACGTAATTACACACGGTCTGAGAAAGTTGTGACTGGGAGGAGCCAAACCTAGGTCCTGCCGGCCCCCCCCCCCCCCCCCGTTTCCCTCCTATGTGGAAAGTCAGTGGTGTCCTCTGCCTCCACGCAGGTACTATGCTTTTGACGAGGCCTTTGTGCGGGAGGTCCTGGGCAAGAAGCTGTCTAAGGGCACCAAGAAAGACCTGGACGACATCAGCACCAAAACAGGCATCACCCTCAAGAGCTGCAGGAGACAAGTGGGCGCCGCAACCCCGTCCCCCAACACAACATCCCATGTCTTCACTCCAACCCTTTGGTCGTTGCCCCAGCTCCATTTTCCTTTCCCACCTCTGACTGTGGCAGGGGCTTCATACCCAGTCTCTTGTCCCTTGTTTTGCTCTTCCAAAGCATCTCCTACTCCCTGGCGGGAGCTGCTCTTTCAGAAGCTCAAATCTGACCACAGCTTTCCCCTCCTCGTGAACTTTAATTGGCTTTCCCACTCCATCCTGGGTAGTAGCCACACCTCCTGGCCTTGACCTTCATGCTCTTCTGTGATCTGGTCTCTTGCCAGCCTTCTCAGCTTATATTTCTCCAGCACCTGGCTTTCTTTTTGTTCCTGCCACTCCTCCCTGGAGGGTGTACTATTCTTGGTCTCATCTGCCCTCTTGAAATACAAAGCAGAGGGTCAGATTGGACATTCTCCACAAGGCTCTTTGGTGGCCCAGAAGGGAGAAGCAACCTTTCTGGGCCTTTAGTATTTCTTCTCTCTGTCTTTTGTGTACTCCTTCTGTACAGCTTAGCATTTGCTCTTTTTTTTTTTTTTTTTTTTACTTCCTGGATCTTAGCCAGGAGGGTCAGTTCCAGCATGAACTCATGAAGGGCTGGAAAGCATGATATAAAATAAGGGGAATTCAGAGGTAGGAGTGAGTAAACATTTATCCAGGGCAAGATGCTTGAATCGATAACAGGTATTAGCAGTTAATAGTTTACTGAAGAATACCACATGCTGGGGCGCCTGGGCGGCTCAGTGGGTTAAGCCTCTCCTTTTGGCTCAGGTCATGATCCTGGGGTCCTGGGATCGAGTCCTGCATTGTGCTCTCTCTCTGCTCGGGAGGGAGCCTGCTTCCCTTCCCCTCTCTCTGCCTGCCTCTCTGCCTACTTGTGATCTTGTCTGTCAAATGGATAAATAAAATCTTTAAAAAAAAAAAAAGAATACTACATGCTAAGTTAGCATCTGTTGACTGGTTAGATGCATAGGTGAGGGAGGGATGTTCAGTAATCGCTTTATCAGATGACCAGCCTCTGATCAGTCCTCCCTCCCTCCTCCCCTAACTGCCCTGCAGTTTGACAACTTTAAGCGAGTCTTCAAGGTGGTGGAGGAGATGCGGGGCTCCCTGGTGGACAACATTCAGCAACACTTCCTCCTGTCTGACCGGTTGGCCAGGTGAGGGGCCAGCCAAGGAGCCAGCCATCTCCCCTTCCTGCTCGCTCCTTCCTTGGGCCATGAGGCAGGTCCACCTTCCCCACTCCCACCCACTTGACCCCCTGGCTGTATTGGGCAGTGGCTCTCCTATTCCCGGTCTGTGCTTTGGATCAGACTGGCTGTTTACCAGGGGGGGGGGGCTGTCGCATGTAAAGCCTGTGGTGCAGCCCCTGGGGCTTAGGAAGGGCTCAGTAAATGGTAACTGTTATCCTCAGGTCTCCCCCCCCCCCCCCCTTAGGAGACCTGGGCTGAATCCTTCTCTTTACACATACAGGGAGGCCCAGAGAGAAGTGGCTTGAAGCATGTCACATAGTGAGCTGGGGCAGAGACAGGCCAGAAATCAGATGCCCCAGCCAATGTCACAGGTGGGAGTTGCTCCCTAAAAAGGAATTTGAAACCCTGACAGGCCCACTCTCCCATCTTTGCAGGGACTACGCGGCCATCGTCTTCTTTGCCAACAACCGCTTCGAGACAGGGAAGAAAAAACTGCAGTATCTGAGCTTTGGCGACTTTGCCTACTGTGCTGAGCTCATGATCCAGAACTGGACCCTCGGAGCCGTCGGTGAGGCCCCCACTCACCCAGCTGCCCAGACACCTCCCCACCCTCCCAGGGCCTGTGTCCCCACCAGCAGTTTCTCCTGCAGGCCCCGGTTTCCAGCGACCTTTCTTCACGCAGCCATTGCTACTCATAGTCCTGTGTCCCCCTGCACAGCTCATCTGCAGACAGAGTGCCCGCCACTGATTTGTGGCCTGGGGCAAGTGACTCTGCCTTTCTGACACTTCCTTTTCTGTCTCACGGGGGTGTGCTGAGGGGGCAGGTGAGGAAGGCTTGGGATATCACTGGAGGCGTTTTTACCCCTATCACAATTCCCTTGCTGGGCCTTCCCCAGACTCCCAGGTGGATGATATGGACGTGGATCTAGACAAGGAGTTTCTCCAGGACTTGAAGGAGCTCAAAATGCTTGTGGCTGACAAGGACCTTCTGGACCTACACAAGAGGTGACCCTGGGGGGTCCTCGGGCCGGGGCGCGAGAGGGGGCCCAGGCACCTCCAGACTTACCCTGTCTCCCTGCAGCCTGGTGTGTACTGCCCTTCGGGGAAAGCTTGGTGTCTTCTCTGAGATGGAAGCCAACTTCAAGGTCTGTGGCCCAATCCGGCCTCTGTCCCTTGGACATCTTCAGCCTCACTGCACTGTCCCCAGCTCTGCTCATTCCGGAGATTGACCGGCGGGTAGCCCTGCTCCTCTCCCTACCCACCTCGGGCAGCAGGGAACACACTGGGGAGTTGTTGGCTTGAGGGAGGGAGGTAGATTTGGGGAGGGGCCTGCCCCCTCCTCCAGCCTCTGGGCTCAGCCTGCAGCCTCTGGGACAGAAGGCAGAACTCCCAGGCTATCTGCCCCACAGAATCTGTCCCGGGGACTGGTGAATGTGGCTGCCAAGCTGACCCATAATAAGGATGTCCGAGACCTGTTTGTGGACCTCGTGGAGAAGGTGAGCTGTCCTGCCCTGCTGCCCTCTGATCCCCAGCCTGGCCTGTCCCTGGGCTGTACTGGTACTAGATATTTCCTTGGGCCCACAGTTCGTGGAACCCTGCCGTTCTGACCACTGGCCACTGAGTGATGTGCGGCTCTTCTTGAATCAGTATTCGGCGTCCGTCCACTCCCTGGATGGCTTCCGGTGAGAGAGCCCAGGCTTCCTTTCCAGCTTGGCCTTGCTGTAGCCAGCCTCCTGCCAGGGCCTAGCCCTCCTACAGACTCAGGGTTCTGTCTTTTGCCCTAGGGGTGGAAGTCTCTGTGTGGGCCACCCCACCTAGAGACTGGGACCTGACCTTGGGCAGGGTCCTGAACCTCTCCACACCTCAGTTTCCCTCGTAGAATGGGAGGATGATGATGATAATGAGCATAAGAGCAGTGTGAGGAGGGAGGGAGCGCTTAGGTGTATGAAGCTCTTGGAGCAGCATCCATGGTGGAGACTCAGGCGATGGCCACTGTCACTGTTTCCGTTGCAGGCACCAGGCCCTCTGGGACCGCTACATGGGCACCCTCCGTGGCTGCCTCCTGCGCCTCTATCATGACTGAGGTCCCCTCCCGCCGCCCTGCCCGAACTGACAATAAAGCTGCCACGACTTTGGAGGAGGCTGTGCACAGGAGTGTGCGTGGGTACGCGCACACCTGTCTCAGCATCCCGGTGACTGTGCATAGGGATGTTTGGGGACAGGGGGCCCCACAGAGCCTAGGATGTGTCAGAGTGTGGGGTGTCTGTGCTCTGCTGACCCATTTCCCCACCCCAGCTGAGTTCACATGGAAGGCAAGGAGCTCATCTTGGTTTATTCAAGCCATAGCAAGATCAGGAGGATGGGCAAAAGCCTTTGGTGGGGCCAACGAGGAGGCAGCGGGCATAGTGGGAGAGGGCTGAAGCTCGGCGGCACAGGCTCAGCGAGGGCAGGACACTGGGGCCTTCTTCCCCTGTAGGTCCACGCGGGCTGTGAGCGGGAACTTGGTGATGCCGCACGTATTACTCCCACGATGCAGCCGGAAATAGCCCTAGGAAGTCAAGGGGACATGGGGCCAGAAGTAGGGGAGAGGCCTGACCTGCCCTGTCCCCTCGGGAAGATCACACTCACCTCCTCACCCCATTCAGCACCCCAGGAGTTCTTCAGGATCCAGTATGGGATTGGGCGGTGAGGATGAAGCCGGGAATGGCCTCCCTTTGCCCTCCTCCTCTCCGTTGAGTTGGTCTTCCCAAAACCCACAAGCAGGACAGAATGGTTCACAAGGTAGGGGTCACAGGTGGCAGGTGTGGCCTTGATCACACCCTTCTTGTATTGCTGCAGAGGCAGAGGAGCTCAGTCTGGGGCCACCCCGCCTAGGTGCCCCTCCCCCTTCCTGACCCTCTCCCACCTGCAGTAGCTTCATGTTGATGGTCACGGTGATGGGGCCATGGGCGGCCAGGTACTGGGCGATCGCTGAGGGGCAGAAGGTGCCATTAGGCCCTGCTTCCCGTGTGCCCCCTGCTCTTGGCTCTTGGTCCCCCCCCCCACGACCCCCACCACTCTGTGCCTCCATCTCTGTCTCTAGCCCAGTCTTTTTGCCTCTATCCTGGTCTGTCTGTCCGTCCCTGTCATCCTTTCCCCAGGCCTGCCCACGTCCCCCCTCTGCCGCACTCTGCTCATTGTTCTGTAGCATGATGAAGTCCTGGATCCAGGCCACCTTCTTGTAGTTACTGGCCAGACACTTATGGCGTTTGAGGCTCCCCCGGAATGGGTAGTCCTTTTCGCTGGCCAGCCCACCTGGAGATAAGTAAGGCCAGGGCGGAGGCTCAGGGCCTGAACATCCCTCCCCCGCCAGCCCCACCCCTGCCCCCCAAAGCTGACTAGAGAGGCACTCACTGTTGTTGAGGACAGTTACGAATGCGTCCCAGACGAAGCCACCCTTGCAGCCGTCCCCGCAGCGGTTGCAGTCGAGCAGCTCTGGCACAAGAAAGGATGGCGTGGGCTGACTGCACCCCCCATTCTCTCCCCCATCACATGCCCCCCTCTTTCAGCCATACCCTGCACGGAGACTTGCACAGACCGGTTGTATCTGATGCGCCACAGTGCCTCGATGTTGCCCGCGGCAGCCATGGCCCAGCAGCAGTTGCAGTTTCCCTGGCCGGGAGGGGGGCAGTGGGAAGGTGTCCGGGCCTCACCCCTCACCCCCCCCCCACCCCCCGCTCCCGTGCCACTGAGGCTGGACTGGGCCAGATGGGGGTGGATACCTGCTGCTTGATGGGTGACTTGACGCCCTTCAACTTGCGCCAGTCGCAGCTAGGGGGCACTGACTCCACCACCACTTCAGACCCCACCTTTCTGCCCACACCAGGAGTCTCTCCAGGTGTTATCTTCTGGTGCCCATGGAGCTGCTCAAACTCCTCCTCTGGGGGATGGACAGGGCCACCAGGGTCACAGTGTTGACCCCTTTCCCCCATACTGTGCCTTTCCCGCTCCAGCCATCCACACTCGGGGTTGAGTCCCCATAACACCCAGGGAGGCAGGCGCCTAAGAGGGTATCAAGGCCCAGAGAGAAGCCAAGTTACTTCCTGGGACACATTCCCCTGCACTTGCTGCCTCCACCCTGAGCTGGACTAGGACTCAGACCCGGCCCTGCTTTTGTGATTTGGGGCAAGCCAGCAGGCCTCTGGTCCTCAGAGTCCCTCTCTCTGGGAGGTGAAAGCTGTAGTTCAGCCCTGTGCATCGGCCAGTATCCCCGGAGAAGTCTCGGCCTCCCCACCTACCACCTAGGTAGGGTCCAGGAAGCATCCAGTACCTGTGAGGTCACTGAATGGAGTCATCCCGAACTCGGCCGTGCCCAAGTCTTCTGCTTCCATCTTCCGAGCCTGGGCTAGGTTGTGTGCAAAGATCTCCAGGCGACGAGCATACTCTGGAGCAAAAGGTGGTGGTTCTCGGCAGCCTCCCAAGCCCCCAGAGGCAGGAAGTGGCTGCTGGCTGAGCACCCTCCCACTCACACCACCCAGGTGAACACTGGCTCCTTTCTTGTGGCCACTGCAGGCCCCATTGCAGACAACTGGGCCAAGGAAGTGGCTCCCCAGCCCCTCTAGGGTTGGGTTTTCCCCAGAGGCAGTAAAGGGGACATCTTTGCCCACCCACAGGGAAGACAAGTAAAGGGTCTGAAGGCAGAGTGACTCAGAACGGAAAGGTGGTCAGAGACTGGCTTCCTGCCAGGTCGTTCTCTGCCCCCTCCCACACCTGCCCCACACCTCTGACGGCAGGGTCTGAGCTGGAACTTGATGAAGGTGGGGAAGGATAGGGGCTTATGGGTCCATGACATGGGCAGCCTGGGCTGGAACTTAAGCCCAGACATCCCCCGCCCACCCCGTGAAGATGAGACCCAGAGGACAGGAGCAGGGCTGGGACCTCATGGACATGGAGAGCGAGTCCCCAGCTTGGGGACAAGATGAGTATCTTTGGTGTTTCTGAATGAACTCATGAGTAGATGGTAATTGGCCTGCTGCGTGGAGTGACAAGAAAATGGCTGTGGAAGTGGCAGATTCTCTGGGACTGGGGTGGACCCCAGTAGCTGCTTCCTGCCCTCCAACTTCATAGCAAAGAATGATCATGGCCCTCTTTGTGCATTTAGGAAACCAGGGAGGATACCCCTAGCCCTACCAGTTGTCTTGCTGAATGGCTTTGGCCCAGCCCATTCCCCACCCTGAATCTTGGTTTCCTCATCTATTAAATGGGAGAAGGGGAGGGGGTAAACTGGGGATGTACATGCCCTGTGATACCTTTGGGGTTTGAGTAACTCCGGTCGTATTGGGCGCGGAACAACTCGAAGACCTGTTTCAGCTTCAGGAAGTCGGGATCTAGGTCCTGAGAAGGAACCAAGGGGATGGGGGGGGGGGGGTTGGTAGAGAGCAGGTGAGGAGTCATTGCTGGGACCAGACCTCGCCTTCCAGCCTTTCAGGGCTCGGGCTAGGGGACCAGTTGCTTAGCCTGCTCTGTCCCCCTGTGTTAGCTTGGGCCGCATGGCATCATGTCAGTCCCCTCTCCAGCCTCAGTTGCTCTCTCTGAGAAATGGGAATAAAGCCAGTTGTTTCTGAGAGGATGAGCCCCAGGTAGGAGCCTTGCAGAGGGAGGAGCATAGGAAGCAAGGAGAGCGGCACTTACCTTCTCCCAGAGGGAGTCCTTGATGTCTTGAGTCAGGCCTGCCACCAACAGGGCCAGGAGACAGGAGAGGTAGACGGTTGGTGCCATGGTGTAGGCCATAGTGCTGTAGGCGAGAGAGAGCAGGGAGCAGGAAGCTGTGCTAACCAAGCTGGAGGGGCTGAGAGGGCGGAGCTGGAGAAACCACCACGGAGAAACCCGGTTGTGAGAGGGAGGTGGACCCCTGGATCACAAGAGCTGCCTCCGGCCTTCAGGCTTTTGTCCTCTACAGCCCTCAGCCCACCTGTTGCCCACTATGCCTTGTTCTTCAGTCAGCAGAGCCCGTCTGCCCACCCTGTCCTGGGCAAGTCTAGGGATACAGATGAATCAGTCAGTCCTTAAGGAAACAGGAATAGACAGATCCAAAGTGAGCAGTTGCCATGTGTGGCCGTCAGTGTCATGAAGTCCAGGGGCTACAGGGGCCCTCAGGCCTCTAACCCTGGGTGCGGCTGAAGGGTAGTCATTGCCCCCTGGGGGAAGCACTCTTACTCATCCTGGGAAACGAAGTCAGCTCAAGGGTCATCCTCCAAGAAGCCTACCCTGCTCCCTGTCCTCTGGTGGAACCTGTGGCCCCTCGAGCCTCTGTTGTGCCTCTGCCCACTTGGTTTCTGCGTCTCAGCCACACTAGAAGCATCTGATGCACCTGCGTCCTCAGCACCCAGGCCAGCACTGGGCCCGGAGCAGCCTTGATGTGTGTCTGTAGACCTCACAATTGGTTGTCATGGTTGTTTTGTTTTGTTTAGTATTTTTTTATGATTTTTTTATTTATTTGACAGCACAAGTAGGGGGAGCCGGGGGCAGAGGGAAAAGGAGAAGCAGGCTCCCCGCTGAGCTAGGAGCCAGCATGGGGCTGGATCCCGGGATCCTGACCTGAGCCAAAGGCAGATGCTTAACTATCTGAACCAGCCAAAGGCAGATGCTTAACTATCTGAACCACCCAGGTGCCCGGGTTGTCACGGGTTTTCAACAGTAAAGTTCAGAGGCTGGGGCACAGTAAGCGGCAGCTACTGCCGCTTCCTGTTCCTCGTTCTTCTCACAGTATGGCAGTGGGGGTGAGGGGGTTGGGTGGACCTGAGGGGCCAGACTGAGTGCAAAAGGGATGAGGACAGGGAAAGTCAGGGTACTGGAGGTCAAGAGAAGCACTGCAAGGAGGCAATGCCAAGTGGTGGGCGTACGCATGCCTAACAGTGCCAAGACTCAAAAATGGAGTTGCCAACTGTGTACCCAGTCATTCCCCTCCGGGCCTCACGCCCTCATCTCTAAGTGGCAACAATTCCTTTGCGAGGAACGACTGTGGGCACCTTTGACCCCGGCTGACACAGAAGAGGTATTCAAATGGTGGGTCCTGGGCAGAGAGCCCGGGGACTCTTGGAAGCAGAGTGACTTGAGTTCAGATCCTGTCCTTAGCACTTTGGCTGTTCCTGGACAAATCTCAGCCTCTTTCACCCGTGAAACAGGGTGATAACAGCACCCCTTCACTGGCTTGGCAGGAGGATTTCATGAAATGCATGCTGGTACCTGGGAAGGTTACACCTTGACAACCAAGAACTATTATTTTTATTATTTTTTTAAAATAACAGCTTTATTGAAACATAATTTACAGGACATAAAATTCAGCCTTTTAAAAGTATACAGTTCAGGCACCTGGGTGGCTCAGCTGGTAAAGCAACTGCTTTCAGCTCAGGTCATGATCCTGGAGTCCCAGGATTGAGTCCCACATCAGGATCCCTGCTCAGCGGGGAGTCTGCTTCTCCCTCTGACCCTCTCCCCTCTCTCTCTCAAGTAAATAAATAAAATCTCTTAAAAAAACAAAAGTATAGAATTCACTGGAGTTCAGTCAAAGAGCACGTGATTGTGGTCTTGAGGTTGTGAGTTTGAGCCCCATGTGAGATAACTTAAGTAAATTAAAAAAAAAAACAAAAACAAAAAAACCCTTGATACAATTCAGTAGTTTTAGTGTATTTGCACGACTGGACAATCCACACCGCCATCTGATTTCGGAGTATTTTCATCACTCCAAAAGAAACCCCATGTCCATTGGGAGCCGCCCTCTAGTCCCCCGCCTTCCCCTGGCAAACACTAATCTAATTGGTCTCCTAGGTTTGTCTATTCTAGATGTGTCCTATAAATGGAATATGACGATGTTTGTGTCTGGCTTCTTCCACCTAGGGTAATATTTTCAAGATCCATCCCCATTTAGGCACACATCAGTATTTCATTCCTTTTTATGGCTGAATAATATTCCATCACATTACCATATTTTGTTTATCCATTCATCAATTAATGGACATTAGATTGTTTCTACATTTTGGTTCTTACCAACAGTGTTGCTATGAATGATGTATATGGATTTTTCCAGTGGACATATGTTTTCAATTCCCTTGAGTATATAAAAAAGAGTGAAGTTTCTGGGTCATGTACGGTAACATTTTGAGGTCCTGCCAAACTGTTTCAAAGAGGACCATTCCCACCCACAGTGTATGAGGGCTCCAATTTCGCCATATCCTCGCCAACACTTGTTATTGACTATCTTTTTGGTTTTAAAGAGCTATTATTTTTTAGCACCCTAGCCCCTGTGGCCCCCAGGATCTGGGGAGGGAGGGGCGTGCACTCTCCGATTTACCTTGAACCCCAAGGGCTAGACCTTAGGACCCATGTGCCCCCTCAGTACACCCTCTCCCTGGGTGGAGCTGCACTGGGGGCGACCGTGAAGATAAACAAGGGTGGGAAACGGAAGAGACCGCTCAGCAGTTCCCGCACTTCGTCTGCCCCCAGGCAGGAGATCCCGGGACACGCGGCTCTTTCCCGTCTGGCCCCGCCCTGAGACGTGGGCAGAAGAGGCCCCGCCCCTTCCTGGGAGCCAACTCCGCCCAAACTCCTCCCAGAAAGGCGCGCCTTCTGCTCGAGAGAGAAGGCAGACACCCCGAGGTTGGGGGGTGGGGGTGGGGACCCGTTTGGGAGGAGGGCGGGTAAGGCACTGGCACCGGACCCTGGCGTCCTGTACGCGCAAGCTCAGCCCTGCCTGCCTTCTCCGGGGCTTCCATTCATTCTGGGCCAAAAGGCAACTGCGGACCCCGTTCCCAAACTGTTGTAGTTTCGCGGACCGACTGTTGGGAGGAAGCCCATCTTCCAGTGAAGGGACCACCTGGCTGACAACCCTAGGGATGGAGGCGAGAAGGGACAGAGTTGGACAGTTTTGGGCCTGGGAGCGTCTTATCCTCTGGCGAGGGTGTGGGGACCGTGAATGAAATTTTGATAGTCCCAGAGTGACCGTCCGGGTGCACAGAATAAGATTCTGGGGGGCGGAGGGCGAGGATCTAGAAGCCCCAGGATTAGATGGGGTCCAGGTGCCCAGGATGACATTCTGGGAGGCGCAGAGTGTGGAGGCCCCAGCATTAACATGTGGTTGCCCAGGGTGGAATTCTAGGAGCCCAGATTAGATTGGGTCCAGGTGCGCAGGATGACATACTGGGGTGCGCAAAGTGAGGGCCTAGGGGCTCCCGGATGAGTCTGGGGCCCTGGCATCAAGGCCATACCCCCAGGATGGGGAGCTAGGGGGACCCTGGCCCTGCGCCGGGAGGCGGCTCCCGGCAGCGCCGCGGGGGACCGGGTGGGGGCCTGCGGCTGGCCGGGGGCGGAGAAGCGGGGGGTCGGGGTCCCTCCCCCTGGCGCGGGCTCAGGAATCCGCCGAGGGGCGGGCGGAGGCGCCGGGGTGGGCCGCGCCGCGGCGGGCGGGCGGACGGGCGGGGGGCGCTTCCTGGGGCCGCGCGTCCAGGGAGCTGCGCCGTCCGCCCGTCCGTCTGTCCGCAGGCACTGCCCGAACCACCGAGCCGCCGGAGACGCGGGCCGCGGGGGCGTCGCGGGCTCAAGTGAGTGGCGGTCCGTGGGGGGAGGGCGCGAGCCGGAGTCTCGGCGGAGTCGGCGTCAGCGCAGAGCCGAGAGGCCCGCGCTCCTCGGCCCGCGCCACTGGGGGACCGGGCGGGGGCGGGGCGGCTCGGGACGGGTGGGCCCAGAATCCCGGCCTGCGGGAGGAGTGGGCCCTCGGCCCTGGGAAGCTCCGGGACCCCAAGCCCGGTCCCGAGCGGGAGGCGGCTGGGGCCGGGGTTCTGAGTCCTGGTAGGGGGAATGGGGGGAGGTGCGTGGCAGAAGCGTCCTGACCCCCCCTTCCCCCACTATCCCTCCACCACCACCACCTCCCAGCCCCAGGATGCTCCCCTTCGCCTCCTGCCTCCCCGGGTCTCTACTGCTCTGGGCGCTGTTGCTGCTGCTTTTGGGGGCAGCGTCTCCCCAGGATTCGGAGGAGCCGGACAGCTACACGGTGGGGACAGTGGGGCCGCTGGCCTGGGATGGGCTGGGTAGGGACACAGAGACCAGGATCCTGGGGTGGCTGCTGCGGGGGAAGACTCTCCCCTCCCCTGCTTGGTGAAGCGGCTGAGGGCCATTGTTTGGAGCAGGCTGGGAGGGTGTCCAGGCTCAGGCCCTGATCCTGGCCCGATCATTTGAAGGGGACTGGGGATGACTGCTAGTCATCTCTGGTCCCTTTGTAGGAATGCACAGATGGCTATGAGTGGGACCCCGACAGCCAGCACTGCCGGGGTGAGTGTGCTTGGGGGACTGACCCACCCCCAGGAACTGGGAAAGGGATTGGCACCTTAGTTCCAAGAACAGCATTGGGGAGCCCTGACCTGTCCTCTGCGCAGCTTGGCTTGGCAGAGGCCAGCTCTGATTCTCTGGGGGCCAGCTCAGCCAGGGGTGGAGAAGCCATGCAGGCCCCTCCCTCTCCGAGAAACCCAGGACACCCTGCCCCCACCCCTCAGTAGGCCGGAGAGCAACAGGGCACTGCCCAGAGACGCTGGGTCTTGGATACCTCTGACTACTTTCCTATCAAGCTTTGTCCCATCATGTCCTGGGAGGGCAGTGTCTGTGGGGTGGGGGAAAAGAGGCCTGTACGTCACTCTTGGGCTGAGCCAGGGCCAGGGCTTTGGGGAGGAGTAGAGACCCTCTTAGGGACAAGAGTATGGGGGTGCCTATGTGAGCAAGCAGGCCTCGGGGAGGGGTCCTGAGCAGGCTACCTTAGCTGAGAGAGGAAAGGCCTTGCCTGGGCCACACAGCTTATAGAAGGCCGAGCTGGGCTCCTGCCTGCCACCCACTTCCCGGCCAGCCCGAGAGACTGGCTGTGCCCAGCAGGCCCCTCTCTGCAGATGTCAACGAGTGCCTGACCATCCCTGAGGCCTGCAAGGGGGAGATGAAATGCATCAACCACTATGGGGGCTACTTGTGCCTGCCCCGCTCAGCTGCCGTCATCAATGACCTGCATGGCGAGGGACCGCCACCACCAGTGCCTCCCGCTGAACACCCCAACCCCTGCATACCAGGCTACGAACCTGACGAGCAAGAGCGCTGTGTGGGTGAGTGAGGATCCCCTTGGCTCCAGGGTTTTCAGTCCTCCCACCAGGCGTCACTGCATCTTAACGACTCAGACCACAGTTGCTCCCTTGCTCAAAGGCAGGGGCTAGCCGGATTGCCCTCCAGATCCTCACTTTGTGTGGGGCCTGCCACCGGTGGTCCCAGCTCGTCCCACTGCTCCAGCCAGCACCTGGAGCCCCCTTCTCAGTTGCTGGAGACCCACTGCCAGAGCTCTCCTTCTCAGCTTCTGCCCCCTTCCCTCTTCCTGATCTGGACCCCACCCCCGGCTGCCATGAGCCTTGGAGGAAGGCCCTGGAGTCAGCACTCCTGGGAGTCTGGGCAAGGTCCTCTCCTGGTGGCTCCCAGGCTGACGGACAGCCCCCGATCTGTGTCCTCCCCGTGAGGAGGTGTCAGTCACGTTGGGTGGTGCGTGGGCTCCTGGGCGGGGGCTGAGTGGTGTCTCCTACAGACGTGGACGAGTGTGCCCAGGCCTTGCACGACTGCCGCCCCAGCCAGGATTGCCATAACCTGCCCGGCTCCTACCAGTGCACCTGCCCTGATGGCTACCGCAAGATTGGGCCTGAATGTGTCGGTGAGTCCAGAAAGAGCGTCTCTAGTCCCTGCCCCATGCCCTTGGCCCGGCTCTCACCCTAGCACCAGACCCCCTGTGCCGGCCCACCGTCAGGCTCGGCCCTCGTCCCCTGCCACCTCTGCCTTCCCGTCACTGGTCATGGGACTGCGAGGGTCTGTGAGTGAGTACCCGCCGACCAGTGCCCTCTGCCCCCTCCCCCGACCTCCCTCCTAGATATAGACGAGTGCCGCTACCGCTACTGCCAGCACCGCTGCGTCAACCTGCCCGGCTCCTTTCGCTGCCAGTGCGAGCCAGGCTTCCAGCTGGGGCCCAACAACCGCTCCTGTGTAGGTGAGGCTGGGCCAGGCTAGGCTCCTCGGTCCCTGGGCGGGGCGGGATGGGGGCGCCGGAGCTCTCTTTCTGACCAGCCTGGGGAAAGTGGGCGCTCTGGGCAGCTCTTTGGCTTCCACCCCTCCTGTTTTTTTTTGCCCCTGAACCCCCAGATGTGAATGAGTGTGACATGGGGGCTCCATGTGAGCAACGCTGCTTCAATTCCTATGGGACCTTCCTGTGTCGCTGCAACCAGGGCTATGAGCTACATCGGGACGGCTTCTCCTGCAATGGTGAGAGCTCCCCGCACCATCCTCCGTGGGGCTTCTCCAAGGGGCTCCCAGGCCCCATGTCGTGCTGGGTTTCTTTCCTGCCACACAGCCCTCCATTTGATGTCTCCCGCACCCACATACCTCCTCTGTATTCTGTGCCTGGCTGATTCCCGGTACCTGCACACCAGCCTACCAGAACTCCCAGCCTGGGGTGGGGTTGGGGGGAAGGCATGGGGTGGGAGGAACACGAGGGAGCACGGAAGCTCATTGGGGAGGCTGACAAAGGATGTGGGTGCTCCCCTCTTTGGGAGTCAAGTGGACGCGCATTCAAATTCTGGACTAGGGCCCGCCACTCTTTTGAGCCCATTTTTTTCTGTAAAGTGGATTGTCTTGAGGATGAGGCGGGACATAACAAGACAGGCTTCATCAGGCCCCAAGCCACAATGTTTTAAAGTGAACTAGTGTTTGTTGAGAACCTTCCCTGTGTGGCCCATTTCCCTTACATACTTGGCCTTGTTTAATCCTGCCAGCAATCCTATGATGAAAGTATGAGTTTTTCCTTCCTCGGCAAAACGAGGATGGTAGTATCTCTCCCGAGGTTTGGGGGGAGGGTTGCTAAAAAAAAAAAAGTCATAAGCATAAAGTCCTTTAATGAAGAGAAGTTAAGTGACTCGGCCAAGGTCACACAGCTAGGGTGAGGTGGCACCAGGAGTCCACTCTGGACTTCTCACTCCTTGTCAGCCAGCCAGGAACTCTGTTTATGTTATGTTTTGCTGCTGTACGGGCCCCACTGGTGCCTGGCTCGGTGCTAGGCTGCATGAGGGGACCCAGAACGGGACCCGTGGCTCTTGCCTGTGAGCTCGTGGTTGGTGGGAGGGGACTGTGTGCTTAGGCTGGTTGTGGGTTGCAGGAATTTGGCAAGTTACTGGAAACTGTAACAGGCTGGGTCCTCAAGGCACATCTAGTCTAACCCACTCATTTTATTGACAGGGACTTTGAGGTTCCCCAGACTCGGTCAGGACTTAAAGCCAAGCCTCTAGATTCGCAGTGCTTCCATTCAGGACTGTCCGGCGGTGCTGGGGCAAAGAGCTCTGGGAGCTGGGTGGTCTGGGCAGAGCCTCCTTTGACTCCTCTGTCCCCGTACTGAGCTTTGAAGGTTTTGTCTCACCACCCCTCCGTCTTTCCATACCGAGCCCAACACAGGGCCGGGCTCTCTGTATAAACCTTTGTGGGACTGAACTGGGAGGACTGCCCTTGGTCCAGAGCCCTCATCCACACTGTCCCTCAGATATCGATGAGTGCAGCTACTCCAGTTACCTCTGCCAGTACCGCTGTGTCAATGAACCTGGCCGCTTCTCCTGCCACTGCCCGCAGGGCTATCAGCTGCTGGCCACGCGCCTCTGCCAAGGTATGGGTGGCCCCAGTGGGGCGGGTAGGGTGGTATCAGGGCCTAGTGGCCTGACATCTAGGTTCCAGCCCCTTTTCCCCTGACACAGACATTGATGAGTGTGAGTCGGGCGCACACCAGTGCTCTGAGGCCCAAACCTGTGTCAACTTCCACGGGGGCTACCGCTGCGTGGACACCAACCGCTGCGTGGAGCCCTATGTCCAGGTGTCTGACAAGTGAGTCATCGAGATGCCAGACCCCCCCCTTTGAAAACTGCAACTCCCAGAGGGCTCTGCGGCTGACGGGCCACCGTTTGGCCTGGCCAGTGCCTCAAGGGTCTATGGGAATTGTAGTCCTTCATGAGTAAACCATGCAAACTGTTCTGACAAGAGTGGGAGGATCCTTTGGGGGGATCCCTGTTTGTAGGGTGGGACCAGGTTCGGGATATGGGCTGGGACCTCATTTGTGTCTCCATTTCGGGGTCTCCAGTCGCTGCCTCTGTCCGGCCTCCAACCCTCTGTGCCGTGAGCAGCCCTCCTCCATCGTGCATCGCTACATGAGCATCACCTCAGAGCGCAGTGTGCCCGCGGATGTGTTCCAGATCCAAGCGACCTCTGTCTACCCTGGCGCCTACAATGCCTTTCAGATCCGTGCAGGAAACTCGCAGGGGGACTTCTACATTAGGGTAAGGCTTTCCCCTAACTGCACCCATCAACTAATATGCGTAATCCAAAACTGAATTCCAGGCAACCTTAAGTGAAAGAGTCCGCTATACCACCATGCCCCGCCTCTTCTCTCAAACCCCCCCCCCCCCCCCGGGAGGTGGAATTTCTGTAGAAAGGTAGGGGTATTCTAAATTCCCTCTGTACAAACTACAGGTTGTTAAATGCAATTCTGACCAGGCACTTGGACACTGGGGTTTGAGTCCCTGCACTGGTTTCCGTATGTGACCTCAATTTCTTCACCCTTAGAACAAGGCACTGGCATGGGACATGCCACTGGGACAAGGCACATGCCTGTCCAGGTAACAGACACAGCAGAGTCTGGGGAAGGCAAGCAAATGGAGCTGGGCCTTGGAGAGAGAGGCAGCAGGGGTTGGTGTGGGGTTTGGGGTCCAAGAACCCAGCTGGCTGCTGGTGGAGCTATTAGGAAGGAGGGGTCCAGGCCTGATTCACAATGAGAGGGGTCCGAGGGTTTATCTGATATCAGTCCTTGTTTTCTCTTTCTGAAATTGGATGCTCTGAAGGGAAGTCTGCCTGCTCCAGGTCACCAAAGGCCCCATCACTCCCAAGTCTTTCTTCTGGCCTTGAAGCGTCAGTTGGCTTTGGTCAGACAAAAGAACTAGATGGAAAGTGTGGGAAGAGCACCAGTGGGAGATTTCTGAGGGCGGGAGCCTAAGTGCACCAGAGGCAAGATGTCATGGGTATCACAGAGTCGGATGGGAGCCTGAGATCACGGCCTGACCGGCTCTCTACTTCACAGCCATCTGCTTGTGGGTTCAAGATATGGGACAGGGAGGTGATGCCAGGACAGGGTCCTGGCGTGTAGGTTGACGTGATCTACGTGTCCCCCCACCCACTGTGCCCTGCAGCAAATCAACAATGTCAGCGCCATGCTGGTCCTCGCCCGGCCCGTGACGGGCCCCCGGGAGTACGTGCTGGACCTCGAGATGGTCACCATGAACTCCCTCATGAGCTACCGGGCCAGCTCTGTACTGAGACTCACCGTCTTCGTGGGGGCCTACACTTTCTGAGGAGTGGGTGGGGGGACCCTCAGGGAGGGAGAGGCTTCCCGCAGCCAGAGAGCCTGGGGCTCAGGGATGTCTGTGCTCGCTGCAAGGGCAGATGCTGTTGTGAAGAGTAGAAAGAGAAAGGCAATAAAGGGAGAAAGAAGGAGTCCTGGTGGCTGAGGTGGGTGGGGAACACCGTAGTGAACCCCGGATGGGGGAAGGGGCCCGGCTGTGGGAGGTGGGCCAGTCACCCAAAATGGGGGGGATGTCTCTGTTCAGGCTCAGGGGGCCTACAGATAGGAGCTGGGAACTGCATCCCCAAGGCTGGGATTGGCCGACCATGCACATTAGAACCACTATGAGAAGGGAGGTAATAAGGCTGCAGACTTCAGGACCCAGCCCAGGAATTGGGGTTTGACTGGTTTGCGGGGGACCTGGGAAACCCCACTGTAGACAATGGAGGCCTTGGGTTTTACTCCCAGCTTGGCCTCAAACTATCAATTTGGCTAAACCCTAGTAGCTTCCGGTGCCTCAGTTTTCCAATCCATAAAAGGAGGCAGTTAGACCATGAGCACTTTCTAGACATTTCTTTTCCAAAATACAGAACCTGTTACTGAAGGAAATGTTACTTGATCGGGGAACTCTGAGGACATAAACTAGATTCAAAGTTGCAACGCCTCACTGACTCCATCTCCCTGGTAGTCTCAATGCTCCCCTAGGGAACCCCAGGGTCCTGAAGAGCTCAGTTTAAAAACCAGTGGACCTGCTGGTCTCCCCAGTTCCTGCCTGGATACTTCACAAGGCCCGTGGGGCCCAGCATCATCCCCATAAATACAGAAAGCTGCAAATACTTATATTTTTATTGTGGCCAACTAGATTCGGATTAAAAAGCTGGCTAGCCTGTGAAGGTGGGGGGTGGGGGTGTGTGGGCAGGCAGAGTCGGCCCTCGTGGCATAGCTCAGGTCAGGGGGCCGTAGCAGCAGTAGAGCTGGGACAAGGTCCTGCTCAGAGCGGGCCCCAGATTCCTGCACAAAGAGGCAGGGGAGGGTCAGGCCATGGGCCAGAGCGCCCCAGCCCTAACCCCTCCCCCCGGTTCTTTTCCTTGCTGTCACCTCTGCAGTTGGCCACACTTGATGGTGCTCAGCAGCATCTCCTGTTCCTTGGGGGTGGCACAGGCGTCATAGGCGGCCAGTAGGCTGGGGGTGGTGTGGGGGTGTTTGAGTTTCTAAAGCTTGACAATAGGGGATAGCTGGCCTGCTCCGGGCAGCTAGGCCACCATCGTGGGAGCCAGACAGAAGGAGTCAGGACTGTTGCCATACTTCCTGAGTCTGGAATTCAAGGCCCTCTTCCATCCAGCTCACCCTCCCTTCTTGGAGCTGCAAATGTTCTCACTTGGCCCCATCTTTATGGCCCAACCCCCTCCTCTAGAAGCCGCCTCTGCTGCACCCGGCGGAAGGTGTCCATCCCTCCTGGAGCCTCCCCTAGGTGCCTGAGATACCATCTGGTCCTAGCGGGCTCGGTCTGCCTTACTACCTGATCTCCGGGAACTCAGTCGGGTCTGTCCATCTCTGGGTCTGTCCAGCCCTGGCACAGCCAGACCCCGCCACAAGGCACTGGTAGAGCCAGGTAGGGCAGGGGCGGAGGACCCCCACCCCCCAAGAGCTCTGCGGGGGCCTACCTGGCGGGGGTGCTGTACTTGTCTACTATGGCGGCTGCCTTCTCCCCACTCACTCCGCGCACCTGCATCAGCTGCCGGGCGAAGACCTCGCGCACGGACTGGGCCTAGGCAGGGGGAGGACAGGGTCAGGAGTGGCCCAGGGCTGGGCCACATGAGGAGGAGTGGGCCGAGGCAGTACCTTGTTCTTGATGGCACCTGCGTTGAAGTCACTGAAGGTGAGGAGTGAGCACAGAGGATTTGGGGAGGGCCCCGGCCTTGATTCAGAGGCCTCGGAGGCTCCCCAGGGGCGACTGCTGAGGGTACGGCCCTGAGGGGAGAGGGAATTGAGGCCCGGACAGAGCTCTAGGGGACCACCCCCGGCCAGTCCTTGCCCAATCCTAGGCCTCAATGGGCCAGCCCGAACACCAGGCATCTTGCTCACTTCATTTCCTCAGGGGAGCCCAGGGCCCAGGGACTGGGGGGGGGGGACAGGGACAGGGGCACCCGCTCACCTGGTACAGTCTCTGGAGGCCCCGTGTCAACAGGGCCAGGTAGGCAGCTGACTCCTTGAGGTCTGCCGTGCGCTTCACAAAGAAGCCATCGATGACCTGGGAGAGAGGAGCCCACGCAGGAGAGGAAGGGGCTTCCCGGCTGGAGCCGCGGACTACGGAGTCCCCGCCAGCCTGGCCTGGCCCTCCGGGCTCACCTGAGTGTTGGTGACAGCCTGCAGCAGCGTGCTCTCAGGAAGGCTGAGGTGGTCCGCTGAGCCGTGCTCCTCTACCAGGTACACTCGGTGGCCCAGGCCACAGCGCTTTAACCGGAACTGGGGAGGGACACAAGGTTGGGGGGGGTCAGGTGCCAGCTGTCAATCTTGTCACACTCAAAATTGTCACCAGTCCACCTCTTCGTCTTCCCTAGCTTTTCTGCCTGTCTCGGGGCCTCCACCTTTGCTCACGCTGTTACCGTTGTCGGGAAGAGCCTCCCATCATCTCTGAATGACGGGCATTCTCCCACGCACTCGGCCCACACGGCCTCTCTGTGCGACCAGCCCAGCAGCCAGTACCCAGACTGAGCCGCTTTGCTTCCACTCCTGGAGGTCTGGGTCTTGTTTATCCTGGACCGTGGGCACTGGCCGCCTGTGCGCCTACTGTGCGCCCTACTGTGCGCCCAGAGGGGCCCAAGAGCTCTGATCTTGGAGCTGGCTGTGTGCAGCTTTAATGGGGGTATGAGTATGGGAACTCTGCCTTGAAGCCAAACACCCCTGGGCTTCAGAGGGGCCCTAGAGCCGATAGGGAATGGGGAGCACGGGGAGGCCATTCTAGGAACCTTCTGCTCACGGAAGCGGCCATCTATGATGCTGCTACACAGGTCATCCAGCCGCTTGCGTTCCACGATGTGGTCCAGGACGAGCTCCCCGGGTCTTGCTGCCAGGAGACCAAGAAGGGTTCTGTTGGCTCCTATCCCCGTACCCCCCAACCCCCCAGGGCCCTGCCTCGGATACCTGCTCTTCGGTCCACACCCCTACCTGGGTCTCTGGGCCTGGTCTCTTGAGCCACCCACACGAAGTCCCCGACGTGCAGCTTGCGCACCATGTGGGGCACACGCAGACGCTGTAGCTCGAGGAGCAGCTCTGGCCTGTGCCCCGCCCTGGAGTTGTGAGACAGTTGGCCTAGATCAGGGCAGGCCCCTGCCACCCACCCCTGCCAGCATTGCCTCCTTTGCTCCTCCCCCTCCAGCCCCCTCACCCCTTGGCTTCGCTGGTATCCACACACAACAGCACCCTGTACTCTCCAGGCTCAAGCTCCAGGGGCGGCTGCTGGACACTCCCTTCACTGGCGCCACTACAAGGGGGAGGGGGACGTCGGCATGTCTGAGGCCAGGACACCGGAGCCAGGCAGCCCCCCCACACTGCCGCCCCTTGCAACCCAAGTGAGTGCGACAGCTCAGCTGGAGATGATGGAGAGAGGGCTGGCCTTGTTTCTGGGAGACCTCTGCCCCCCCCGACCCATGGCCCCCCTTCTCCCTCCTCCTCACAGTTTAGCAGAGGCCGCTCCTGGCACTTCTGGCTCCTCCCCAGGGGGCTCCTCTGACCTGATATCTATGTCCAGTGAGCTCAGGCCCTCTGACTCAGCCAGCTTCCGAGCGAGCTCCAGACCCTCCGCCGTCAGCGAGTACCTGATGAACACAGATCTCCCTTCTTCATTCACACCTGGCACGCCCTCCTGCCTGGCCCCAAACAAGTCACCCTGGCGACCCCTGCCCAAATAAGTCACCCGCGGGCTGTGTTCTCATTCCTCAGATAGCCTTCTTGGGACCTGCCCAGGGACGTGTCTCGGTCTGCAATAAGCACATCTCAGACACCCTGTCCCTCCTCTCCAGAGTGCTGCTCTTGCGTCTCTCCCCCACTAAATTCTAAGACGTGTCCAAATGCTGGGTCCTCAGCAAAGGCATTCTGCTCTTCCAGTAAAACCTGTGGCACCTCTCCTTGCCCCTGCCTAGTGCCTGGTCTCTCGGGTCCTCTCGGTACTCCCACGATATGGGCTCCTGCAAGTAAGGTCCTCCTTTCCCACACCCAATTCAACAGCACAAGGCCTGCAATTTGCTGGGTGACGGCAGGGCCCCACTCAGAACGTCATGCACGTTCTCCCCCCCAATGCCCAACACACACCTCCTGTCTCCCCCTGTAGTTGACCCCACCTGGCTGGCCGGTGTGACCTGAGAACAAGGTTTCTGTGCAGGAGGGAGCGGAGGGCTGGCCAGGGTCGAGTACTCCCAGGGGCCACCTGTCCATAGGGGAAGAGAGACCCTTAGAAAGCCCCTGGTGGTACCATAAGTCCAACTCTCTGGGCTCTAAGCCACCGCCTGCTCCCAAGAAGGGAAGTCCCTGGTGGGCTTAAGGTCTGACCCGCCACCACTCGGCTCCATCCTTTCCCTGCTCAGAGCTCACCCTGGGGGCTTTCTGGGCACACCCCTGCAGCAGCTCCTCCTTGGCTAGGAAGCCATGGCCACTAGGATTCTGTAACCAAGGCAGAAATGTAACTCAGATAGGGTCAGTGCTAGGGCCGACCTCCTCCAGGAGCCTCAGGCCCCAGTGCCTGGGTGCTCCTGCCTCCCAGGCTGGCCACGGGCTCACCAGGTGCTCCCTGTAGAGTAGCAGCAGGATCTCGCGGGCACCTGAGTGCCGAGCCGGCCAGTAGCTGCCTGAGCCCCCTGCTTTGGGCTGGGCTGGAAGCTGAAAGAATCACTGTGGCTTTGAACATGGAAACCAATCAGCCATTGTGGACTGAATCCCTGGCAGGGCCGAGGTTCAGGTCCTGTCTCAGCAGGCTACACGGCCCTGAATGAGTCCCTCAGCCGCCCCTCAGTTTCCCTGTCTAGAAATTGGGTCAGATGATGGTACAACTTGTAAGGCTGGGATGAGATGGTGGGAAGGTTGGAGGGGGGGTGGGCGTGGGGTGAGGGGTGTAATCTGCCTGACCTAGCCTCAGTTTTACCATTGGTTGGGGAACA